CCCGTTGCTTTGTAATATTTCGAATACTCGTTCTATTGTTTTTAAATGCTCACTCAAGTTTTTACTTTTGATTAATATATCGTCGTAGAATACTATGACATCCTGAAGCCCTTCAAATAAACTAACCATTAGTTTCTGAAATATTCCGGGACTCGAAGCCAACCCGTACACTAAACGGTTATATTTAAATAGACCCCAGCGTATTTATGACCGTGTATGCCCTAGAATTCGTATCTAAAACCAATTGGTTGTATGCCTGAGGTAAATCTAATTTTGTGAAAAATACGTTACCCGATAGGTTACTAAACAAGTCGTCTATCTTTGGAACTGGATATCTATCGACCGACAACACACGATTCAGGGTTACCTTGTAGTCCGCGCATATGCGTATACCGCCGTTCGCCTTACTGGCGATGACGAGCGGCGTGGCCCAATCGGAGCGCTCCACCGGCTCGATGACGCCGGCCGCCAGCATGGCGTCGAGCTCGGCGTCGACGCGCGCAGCGCGTACGGCACGGGCCGCGCTCGGCAGTACACCGGCGCTGCGCCCTCGCGCACGCTCAGCTGCACCGGCGTCCCCGTGTACCGCCCCAGTGTGCCGTCGAACAGTAACTTATGCCTGGAAATTATTTCATGCAATCGTTTATTTAAGTCACTATGAACTGATTCTAATTTCAAAATATTCACACGAGGGATATCAATGCTAAGTTCTGACAGCCATTGTCGACCTAATAACGTAGTAGTGCCACTATTAATTACATACAGGTCTAACGTCTTGGTGATGTTCTTATATTGCACTTTTACATTTAAATACCCTAAGGGCCGTATTTCCGAACCATCATAGAACTTTAATTTTAATTGACAAGGACTTTCCTTTAATTGACTGAAATATTTACAATATGTAATCTCATTTATGCATGACAATGCAGACCCTGTGTCAATTTCCATATTTAAAGCTATATTCTCAACTATCATAGTCGTACACACCGGTTTACACTTAGCTAAAGACATCTGGTATATAGGCTCTTCATCTTCTGAGTCGGAGTGACGTGGCGTCCCGCACTGAAAGTGGTCCGCGCCGTCGCTGGCGCTGGCGGTGCTCTCCGCCGGCTGCTGCCAGTGCGCGGCGGCGCGCGGGCCGCGGCCGCGTCCCCGGCCACCCCGCTTCGCTCGCCTGCCGCGGCCGGTCACGTTCGCAAACCGTGATGGGTCAGCTGACCGCGTCCCTGATGCATTTTCGAATCGTCTTGGCTGGTACTCCGCAACACTTTTTGTCGGACACATTCTTCTGAGGTGGCCCGTTCTCTTACAATTGCTACATTCGTAATTTTTATATTTACAGTTGTTCGTCCTATGCCAGTCTTCACCACAGGTCATACATTTGAATGAACCGGTAACTGTATGAATGTCGATAGAAGTATTCTCCCTCTGCTCGACCGCTCCGGCGTCTCTTTCCGCCGCTTCGAGTGTAATAGCTAGCTTCACCGCCTTGCTATAAGTGATATTATCGTCCTCCGCGAACAACCGCTGTCGTGTAACCTCACTTTTGATGCCGCATACCAATTGGTCACGCAAGTTTTCTTCGAGAGATGCGCCAAACTCACACGACTTTGACATTTTACATAACAATGATAATCAGAAGACGAAGTGTTATCCTTCGAAGCAATCGGCGACTGTATTGGATTAATCGGCTAGAATTACGCTTCAAGCATTACTCGATGCAACGATTGCATCGAAAATTTGGAATAACTTATCACCGCCGTTACATAAAGTTTCTTTATACGCTGTTAAATAACATATGAACAAAAAAATGTTGACCGAGCAGAAAGAGACACTCCTGGACTAGCCTTGTTTAGTGGCAATAGATAATTAAATAAGATATCCAATTTTTTGCTGTGATAGATTGGTTTAGAATTGGGGTGCACATAATATACTATATACATGGATAGGTGAATTCATTCAGAAGATGATTAGAAACGCAGTTAGAGCGGAGTAAAATGTACAATGATGTTTAAATGGAGATTATTCATTAAATTGAACTGAAAGGAATTAATTATTCAGATTTAGCTTTACTTTATAATGTTACCAAGTACTAAGTTTGCGAAACAAGCGCTATTACAAATGTGTTTGCAAAGATCAGGGGCAGGCTGAAAACCAGTGCTGAACGTCTTCTGCCGCTCAGTCAATGCTGAGACTGTCCCCCACACACAAATCATTTAATGTTTATATTAATTTATTTTTGCATTTATAAGTAATTTTTTAAGTTTAGTTTTGTTGTGTAATTAATGTGTGTGGAAATAAATAGGTTTAAATGATCTCATACACTGAAAAAAAGGACTGTCCCAATGAAAAGGATCCTTGAGAATTTAACCCTAATATCGTAGTGGGGATGGTGCTTCCAACCAATGATCCGATTAGATACGATTTGTCCAAGATCGTGTCGACTGGCGTGTATGAATTTAGATTGTCTTCAATACACGCCCCTATTAATTCCATGGATCCATATGGCATTTTACATATTGTACATCGACTTGATTTCAAGAAGTGGGCTGCGAGATGAAGTTAACACAAGGAAATATCAGAGGCAAGGAAAAAATATTCAGGACACGTTTAAGGATAAGCTCAATCTTTTGATAGACATAGTGAAACAAGGTGCAGGAACAACTAATGACGCGTCGCAGCACGAAAGGTCTTTGAGTATCACGACGAAACAGGAGCGATTACTGGATTGGATGAAGATCTAATGTGTATGTAGGTTTGCTGTGATTCTGCAAGCAAAAACATCTGCGGAACAAACTTATGTCACTAAATGTAAACCATAGCCATAATGCCTACGAAACAGCAGAGAAGTACGTGGAGTTACGATTGATTGTCGTCATCGACCTTCCTTAAGTTACTGTTACATGGAGCTGAAATAATCACCAACAATGCAACAATGCTAATTGGGATTAGAAGAAGCCTCAGAAATAGGTAATAAAAACTTTAGGTTTGGGGAATACCTTTCGCGGAAATAGAGCAAGGAAATTTCTAACGAGGATATTCACAATATGGTTGTACTTTCTTCCAACCCTCTCATTAGTTCAAGAAGATCAAATGTAATGGCCAAGAAAAGGCAGACATTCTTCCCCGAAACTCTAGATTTAATACAATTTCCACACAATCAATTAGAGATTTTGGGTGTATCCAGTCTACATCCTGATTCCGAATTGGAATCAAAAGAAAGAGTTGCAGAAAATTAACTTAAATAAGTCATGATGTTCCTAATGAGGTATTTAAAGTAAATTTTTATTGTGGGTGCTAATAATAGTTGCAGTAAATAACTTTATTTATTGTGATTCACTGTTTTAATTATAAGTTGCTATGAATATCTGCGGGATGAACTCTACAGGAATGCGAGCAAATAATTTCCTTAACTAATACTCAGGAAATATTTCTACATCAAAATTAGGGACATTCGTTTAATATCTCCCATACTCTTAGGGACCATTCTATTTTTTGTTATTAATATAAGTGGGCTTTACTTATGTAAAGTATTTAAGACGTGTATTTAAGACAATTATTTTCAAGTTTGTGGTATCTTTATTACGTATAATAACAATACCTTTTAACCTACTTTTGTTTTATTTTCATTTTTAATCAAAATTCCAGTCGTAATTTTTTTTAATAAACTGGAATTTAAAAATGTTATTATAAAAATTGACTTTTTTAAGTGAGCCATATTTACCGTTATACAAAATACGTCGAAAAATCATAATGAGTATTATAGTTTATTTGCGAGGATGTTACTGTTTTCCTTGTTGTTCTAGTGATAAATTTATTTTTCACACTAGTTTTTCTTAGGTGACTATCTCGGGTACTATATTTGAACATAGTAGTTTTTGTCAATTAGCCGTAGTTATTTAAAACAAAAATTCCTATGTCTATGAAAGCCGATTTTCAGCCACTGTTAGGATGTCACGGGCGCGCAACACACGGCTAGCATAACCCTAAGACGCAGTGACTCATTGCATGCCCCTCAAGCACACATCTTTTGTGTATCTATCATTGATGGTATAAATCAGATTTTGTTAGACATCAAAATACTTTTACTAAATCAATCATTAAAAGGAACTACGAGAAAGTATGTATAATGTTAATAACTCAATTTTATTGACCACCTTAAAACGGTAAACAATATTACTGTTTTTTAATGTTCATTGTGTTTTCGTGAAGTTCTGTGCGAAGATGAGAATTCAAAAATATCCTGTAAAAAAATTATACGAAAAGATACCTACAATAGTAACTGCCTCCGTGGCCGAACGGTTACCATGCCGGACTGCCACGCAGAGGTCCCAGGTTCGATTCCCGGGCCGGGAGAAGTATTTGTATGGCCTACAATTATTTCTCTCGTGAGTTTGGGTGTAATTTGTGGTTGTCTATATGTGTGTCCATGGCACCCGCGACACAGGGTTTCCTTAGTGCGGGGCTGTGTTGAGTGTGTGCGTTATTTATTATAAAAAAAAAAATAGTCAAACTCCAAAATTCGGCGAAACACTAATTCTTTTTTAAAGATTCCCACGAACAATGTTACAAAGTTGTTTGTTATAAACATATATTTAATATTTGTTATGAACAATGTAGAAATACATGTAATTTTCGTGTGAGATTGTTGATTTTATTTTCCGTAGAATAAACATTCAAGTGCCAAATAATTATAAAATTAACTGGAAAATAAATCTGAAAAAAATGAGGTGTATTTTTAGCGGGAGAATCCAAAAATGTAAAAAAATACCGTAAAAGCTTTTACACGTTTATTCGGTGTATGTCGGAGTTACCACGAAACATGCATTAAAAAAAATGCAGTTGAATTGAGAACCTCCTCCTTTTTTACAAATTCAGATTCACTACAAAGCTACGCATAATATTTTGATCGGTAAACTTTTTACAATGTTAAAATCCCGATTTGGCCCATCACTAATAGCACACTCGACGAGTAATGCGAGTAAGTTGCGACGTTGCAGGAATGGGGGAATGAAGAACAGAGCGAAGAGCATGAGCACGAGCGCGACGGCGGCGGCGTGGCGGCGCTGTACTTCAGCCCGAGCGCAATGCGCTTCGGCGTTTCGGCGCTCGGCGCTGCGCATTCCGCCACCGTCACCATACACAACACCGCCAACTCCACCCTGCACCTCGCCTCCGTCTCCGGCAGCACCTCCGACTTCTATGCATCTTTCTTTGATACGAAGGTACAATTGTCACGAACAAATGAGTACGGTCGCTTAGCAACGTTATAGTAAGAACCATTTTTTCTGACGAATTCTTTTGCAGTTTAATTTCCAAGGATTCGTTATAGTGGCGACCAAGAAAAGATACAACCTTCAATCGTAGCAAACGAAGTATGGAAATTAAACTGCAAAAGAAAACTTCAGAAAAAAATGGTTCTTATTATAACGTTGCTATGCGACCGTACTCAATTGTTCATGACAGTCTCTACGAAGAAGGAACCGGACGGTTCGACAAAACATACGTTATAAATGATAGATCATTACAAAAAAATAAATACGTGACGGGGCCAAAATGGGGTAGGGTGAACACACTGACTGACCTTGAGTGGTTCCCTCGATAGATGTGTCGGTCGCTGGTGTTTACGCGTATGCCCAGGTGTTAAGGGGTTGTCGCGCCGCCCACTCAAATGAGATGCTAAGATGATTTTCCGTATTGCCGTTGGACAACTGCTACGGTGACATCGCGTCAATAGCGACCGTTCGCTAGCGCGGCGTAGTTGCAACAGGGCCCGTCAAAACGGGGAATATCCCACCCTCAAATCAGTGCGTTTTTTAGGATAGGAATAGAGAGGAGGTGAGTAGATCGTTTGTGCATTTGCGAAGATGCCTATGTATCAAATCTGACATACCGCCTCCCAAAGAGTTGCTAAGCTCTTTAGTAGATTCTAGTGTATAAATTAGTTAAAGTAGCCTAAGTCTAATTGAGTTAAGAGTTATATGCATGCTGTACCGTAAGATTAAATACAAACTAAACTGTATCTAAGTATAAATTTTAAAGATGATTTTAAAGTTGATTTTCAAGTTATTTTTGTTGCCTTGTGTCGCATTTAGGTAATGGACACACCTTAGTGATCGATCTGGTGCAGAACCCGTTACTGGTTTTCATCTCGACTACGCGTACCACACCGTCAGAGCCGGTATGGAGAGCGGACATTCGACCTTTACGCCATCTAAGGGGTGAGGTGTTCTCTTCTTTGATCAAAACTAGATAGCCCAATTGAAGATTGGGGGTATGTTTGCACCACTTAGAGCGCTGCTGTAAGTTGTCAAGATATTCGCTCTGTGTTGTGAAGATGGCAATCCAGAACTGTTGTGAAATTTGTTGTACAAGCTTCCAACGCCTCAACGGTGAGATGTGTTTGTCATCGATGGTGTCCTCGGGCAGGCTAACTAGCGGCTGACCAATAAGGAAATGACCGGGTGTAAGCGTGTCAAGATTAGATGTGTCGTCTGTCAATGGACATAACGGCCTAGAGTTAAGAACTGCCTCAACCCTAGCGAATACTGTGCACAGTTCTTTGAAAGTGAGCACCTGCTCTCCTACCGTTCGAAGCAGCAATTGCTTAGCTGACTTTACCGTCGACTCCCACAGCCCACCCATATGTGGAGCGTAAGAAGGGTTCATATGCCAACTGACACCGAATTTAGTTAATTTATCTATAACTTGTTGTCTGTCAAGGTAGTTAGCGGCCCCTTGGAAATTTTTACCACAGTCAGAGTAAACGTCTGACGGCATTCCCCTCTTCGCAACAAACCTGTGAAAAGAAGCCAGAAATGCTTCGGTTGTTAAATCGGAAGTCACTTCGAGGTGTACCGCCTTTACAGCGAGGATAACGTAGACACAAAGGTACGCTTTGAGTGTCTTTACCTTCCGCATAGTGGAAGTCTTTATTATAAAGGAACTCGCAAAATCGACACACACGAGTGAATGGATGACTTAGTTGCACGCAGGTGCACTTAAGGTTCATCCTTAAGTGCTCCTGCGGACCTAACGCCGGCTGGCCGCGCGTTGTGGTGAAAACGCAGGAGCCATACAACTAAACGTTGCAACGGTGGTAAAGAACTGTAGCTTGTGATGAGTGAGTGCATGAAGGAAACCTCGGCGGCAGCTACCATTGAAGAGATAGCGTCGTGTTTGACACCAGGCAATGCTTCCGTTTCGACGCATGGGGTTGTGGGCCAGGTGGATGGGTTAGCCCTTAACCAAAAGGGAGACCATCACAACCGATGACCCACAAGGCTCTCGACAGTAATGCCCCTGTTTGCGCAATCCGCGTGGAGTGCGCAAGCACGATAGTAGAGTCGCACCACGCAGTGGCACCACTTAAGTTGGTTTTGCCTTGTAAAAGGCCCATATAGTGACCAATCAGTCGAGCAAGGAGCACGGCCCCGCAGAGCTCGAGACGTGGAATGGTCAGCTTTTGACGTAAAGGAGCTACTCTTGACCGGCCACGAAGCAGATGAACGCTGACTTCGCCGGAAGAGTGCTGAACTCGAAGGTATATAACGGCGGCGTAACCGTTTTCAGACGCATCGCAGAATCCCATAATCTTGCATGTGTATGCGTTTGTGCTGAGTATAAATCTGGGTATTTGTGGTAGTTTAAGGAGTTTGAAAGTCTCTGCGAATGAATTCCAGAGCTTAATGATCTCGTCTGGCAGTTGATAGTCTCAGGAAACATCTAGATTGCAAACTCGATGCATTCAGACCTTAGCCAAAAAAGGTAACGGGCGCTAAGTAACCACACGGGTTGTAGATACGAGCAATGTTGGAAAGAATTTCGCGTTTGGTACATGCAGAGTTCCACTCTACTCCCAGTATCTTAAAAATGTTATCTCCTGACTCTTCGAAACGGAGAGGTTTCTCTAAATTATCGGCTGGATAAGTTTCTAAAACTTCAGTGCTGTTACTGGCCCATTTACGCAACTGGAAACCACCTAGAGCTAATACAACAACCAGCTGTTGTTGAATTATCTTGGCAGATGGAACATCGTCGGCATCTGTGATGACGTCATCGACAAAGATATCGCGTTGAAGCGCTTCGGCAGCAGCAGGATACTGTTCCGCGTTGAGCGAAGCTAGTTCGTGTATAACGCGCATAGCTAGATAAGCCGCGGAGCTAATACCGATAATGCTTGAATATGCTTGTGTGTGTGTTTACAAGTTTCCTTAAGTTAGCATTAAGTTGATTTTGATTTATGTGTATATTTAATATAGCTTCTAAGTGTTTGTCTGCAATTGATCTTTTATTTTGATATCTCTCTGTTAATAAATCAAAAGCAACAGAATAATTACCGTCTGAAAGTTCCAAATGTCTAATTAAATTTAAAGGTTCCTTATCTAATGTTGACAATAGATAATGCATCTTTTGTACACTGGGTAGCTCACGGTTATCATGCACTAAACTATGGGTAGCTCACGGTTATCATGCACTAAACTATTGAACATTGCTATGTAGTTAGGCCATTCTGTGTAAACACCAGAAAACTTACGTAATGTTATTTTGGGTAAAACAAAGTGTGTAGGTTTTTGTTTAGGTTTTTGTACCTGTGTTTGTGTTTCATTTAATGTTTGTGGCGGTGTATTGAGTTGAGAAATCAAATCACCTAATATTTGAATGGAATAGTACTTATCGTAAAAACTGGTGTATTGTTTGTCTAATTCTATCTTGAAGTTTTCATCAGAAGACTTTGACAATAAAAAGATAGATAGATAGATAGATAGATAAAATGTTTATTCACCACCATGACAAATACAAACACAGACACATGATACATACATTAACTTAGACGTAACACAGTAATATATTCTAATAGTATCTCTCTTTATTTATTTATTTATTCAGGATATTCCACATAGCAATACACTATACATTAAATTTGAACATATTCGCTTAAAACTAAGTGCTTCTATAGTTAAGGAACATCACAGCATGCATACAAAAAATAAATTGTTGTTTTTTGAAACTATCGAGCATATAGTTAATCCTTCTACCTATGATATGATATACAGTAATTGATTTAAAGTTACAAATAAAATTAAATTTCAAAATTAAAATTAGAATAAAAAATATAAATTCAAAAATATAAATACAAATTTACAATAAAAAAATTAATTGAAACATCATTTATGTATTTAAAATATCACACAACCTTCTCTTGTAATTGTTTAACCCAAGACCAATGTCCAAATCATGTAATTTGGAAAGCGAGTTATACGTCCTGCAGAGCCTCGGTAAAAGAGCGAAATGACCGAGGTTCGTTTTTGAACCTACTACGGCAAAAAAGTTATAAGCGCTTTTTCTGGGTAACCTGCAAGGCGTATTGAATTGTAGCATATTCAATAACTCAGGGCAGTCTAATGAACCGTTAACAATTTTGTGCAGGAAGATTAAATCAAGTCTCTTTCTACGGTTGATCAGAGAAGTCAACTTGTAATGCTCGAGTCTATGTGAGTACCCCGGAAGTCTCTCCGCTTCTAAATCGCCAAATGCCAAGTGATATAAAAAGCGCTTTTGAACACTTTCCAAACGTTTAATGTACACCTCGTAATGTGGGGTCCAAATGACACTGTTGAATTCCAGTCCAGGCAATACTAAAGCTTGAAAAAGTTTTATTTTCGATGAAGACTTCTTGAACTCCTTAGCACTGCGCAGTACGAAACCCATCATCCTAAAACCCTTATTTACAATTTTTTTGATATGTGAGTCAAACCGCAAATTACTATCTACTAAAACCCCCAAGTCCCGAATCTCGTCCACCGTCTCTTAAATCTTGTCCACCCATATTGTATTTATGTAAGTTATCGAACTTGTTGCGTGAAAAGCGTATGTGATGACATTTAGCAACATTTAATATCATTTTATTGGATGTACACCAATTACACAAATTATTGATATCTTCTTGTAGTAGTTCCAAATCCCTGGTACACTTAATTGGTTTTAACATTTTTAAGTCATCAGCGAAAAGATATACACTCGAGTTTTTAAAACAATTAATCACGTCATTAATAAATATGTTGAAAAATAGGGGACCCAAGTGAGATCCTTGGGGAACTCCGGACAGAGGTACAAGAGAATTTGAACTAAAACCGTTTACTACTTACTACCTTAGAAGGCCGATGAGATAAGTACGACTTAACCCATTTAAGCAATGACCCATCAATGCCTGAAAGCGACAATT